GGGTAAGGACATTTGGAACGGAATATGGATTATGAGATTGACTATGATGATTCCTTGTTGTGACGGTGCGGATTAGTTAGTGTAATTTAGATTAATATGTAATATGGTTATGTTGATGTTTGTGTGCTTTATTGTAAACTATTTTTATATGTTGTACACCGCCGCGAGTCGCCCCAGGGCTGAGAGCGGCGGTCAACAAATGCAGCAAATAAATAAATAAATAAATAAATAAATAGAGTACAACCCAAGTATTTTCTGTTTGTCATGGGGGTTCTGTGTGGGAAATTTGCCCCAATTCTGTCGTTGGCGGAGCTCAGAATGCTCTTTGATTGTAGGTGAACTATAAAGCCCAGCAAATATTCTGCTTTGGTTAGACCACACCTGGAATATTGTGTCCAATTCTGGGCACCACAATTCAAGAGAGATATTGACAAGCTGGAATGTGTCCAGAGGAGGGCGACTAAAATGATCAAGGGTCTGGAGAACAAGCCCTATGAGGAGCGCTTAGGGAACTGGGCATGTTTAGCCTGAAGAAGAGAAGGCTGAGAGGAGATATGATAGCGGGCTGAAAAACTAGGCTTATACTTGAGTATATACAGTAATTCAATGCAACTGAGAAATCTTTGTCGTTGACGTCTCCCACACACCAGATCTCATGACGCATCCTTCTTTCAGCGCGACGTCCTTGCTGATTCCTTTTTTCCTTCTCGTCCTTTGACAGTGGAGAACCTCTACACGGCCCTCCGCAACATTGACCGCAGCGAGATCATCAACATGTTGGAAGGCTCGGCGCGGCAGAGCCGGGGCCTGAAGGGTGACAAGCGCTACTCCAACAGAGACTACTCCCTATCGCCCTCCCAGATGAATGGTGAGTCCCGGCCCGGACCCTTCTCCAGCAGACCCACAGTCACATGCGCAAGGCGAGGTCTTCCAGGCCCTTCAGCCCTTCTGTGCCCATCTTCCTCTGTTGCCCCTTTGGCCTGTCCTGTAGTCCCTGAGCTCAACTCGGGCAACCGGCTGTGTCCTGCTATCTCTCTATCTTCCTGGCAGCTGCTTTTTGTGTTGCTAGCCTTATGGTCCCATCTTGCGCCTTGGGGAAACCAAGTCCAGGAGATCCCCGCAGTGTGCGCAGATCCTGCCGTGTGTTGCATCCCAGAGCGCAGCCAGAAGTCCAGAAGGAACGGCTGAGCATGCAGCCGAGTCTTGAAGTCTTGGGACCAAACTAGACGGGAATTCACACACACCGTTTGCAAAGGCATGCAGACTTTTAAGAAGAAGTAAAAAGCAAATGCAGAGGAATCAGGAAAGGACTGACTGAAACGTAGGATATGGAGTTGCAGAGAGCAAGGTGGTAGGACATGCAGTGTGGTTCAGAAAGAAAACACAAAGGAGGAGGTGGCACAGAAGATGTGCTGCGAGGAGAACCACAGGCCATGTGCCAGGTTAGCCTTGCCTTGAAGAATGCATAGCCTAGTTACCTGACTGAATCCTTCCTTAGGCGATCCCTCGTAGTCCGAGTAGGATCGGTGTTCTGTCGGTGGGTCCGTAGGTGGCTGTGGAGCCCTATTCTTGACCCACATGTTCTCCCGCAGTGAGGGCATCGGTTTCCAGGTGGAAGGTGGTCCCGGTCTGGGTTGCCTTGATGCGCCTTCCTCTTGGCACGTTTCTCTCTTTCACCCTCCATTTGTGCCTCTTCAAATTCTGCAGCACTGCTGGTCACACCTGACCTCCAGCTGGAGCACTCAAGAGCCAGGGCTTCCCAGTTCTCAGTGTCTATGCCAGAGTTTTTAAGGTTGGCTTTGAGCCCATCTTTCAATCTCTTTTCCTGTCCTCCAACATTTGGTTGGGCATCCGGACAATGTGGCCGTCCAGGGGAGTTGATGGCGGAGGACCATCGCTTCAATGCTGGTGGTCTTTGCTTCTTCCAGCACATTGACATTTGTCCACTTGTCTTCCCAAGAGATTTGTAGGATTTTCCAGAGGCAGCGCTGATGGAACCTAGTTATCTGACTGAATACCCAACTCCTCAACAGCTCTTCCATTCTGTCTCTCTGGGGCACGAGCATAGGATAGGAATCACACTGTGTCCAATTCTGGGCACCGCCATTGAAGGGAGTTCACTCTAAGCTGGAATGTGTCCAGAGGAGGGAGGCTCAAAGGATCAAGGGTCTGGAGAACAAATGCTATGAGGAGTGGCTTAAAGAGCTGGGCATGTTTCGCCTGCAGGCTGTGAGGAGACCTGATGAGGGCCATGCATCAATATATGAGGGGAAGTCATAGGGCGGAGGGAGAAGGAAGGAAGGAGGAAGGAAGGGGAGAAGGAGAAGAGAGGGAAGGGAGGAAGGAGGAAGGAGAAAGGGAGAGAGGGAAGGAAGGAGAAGGGAGAGAGGGAAGGAGAGGGAGAGAAAGGAAAGAGGAAGGAGGAAGGAAGAAGGAAGGAAGGAAGAAAGGAAGGAGGAAGGAAGGAAGGAAGGAGAAAGGGAGGGAGGAAGAGGAAGGAAGGAAGGAGAGAGAAAGGGAAAAGAGGGAAGGAAGGAAGGGAAAGGGAGGGAGGGGAAGGAAGGAAGGGAAGGAAGGAAGGAAGGAAGGAAGGAAGGAAGGAAGGAAGGAAGGAAGGATGGAAGGAGAAAGGGAGAGAGGAAGGAAAGGAAGGAGGGAAGGGAAGAGAAAGAGGGAGGGGAGGGAGGGAAGAGAGAAGGAAGGAAAGACAAAAGGGAAGGACGGAGGAAGGAAGGAAGGAAGGAAGGAAGGAAGGAGAAAGAGACAGAGAGAGAGAAGGAAGGATTTGAGGGTGGAAGGGAGGGAGAAAGAGGGAGGAAGGAGGAAGGAAAGAGAGAGAAGGGTAGGATGGTGAGAGAGAGGAGGGCCTGAGAAAAGAGCGCAAGGGGCCCCATCTGGCCCCCGGGCCTGGGTTTACCCAGACCCGGACTAAAATGGTCAAGGGTCTGGACAACAAGCGCTATGAGGAGTGGCTGAAAGAGCTGTGCATGTTTAGCCTGCAGAAGAGAAGGCTGAGAGGAGACAGGATGAGGGCCAGGTTTCAATATGTGAGGGGAAGTCATAGGGAGGAGGAGGGAGCAGTTCTCGAGACTAGGACACAATGGGACAATGGCTTCAAACTACAGGAAAGGAGATTCCACCTGAACATGAGGAAGAACTTCCTGACTGTGAAAGCTGTTCAGCAGTGGAACTCTCTGCCTCAGAGTTTGATAATCAGGGGTCAGGGGTCAGAGTCAGGGGTGCTTTGAATGTGATTTTCCTGCTCCTTGGTAGAATAGGGTTGGACTGGTTGTCCACGAGGTCTCTTCCAACCCAGAACAGACTGCCTTCTTCCACTCGGTTCCTCCTGAGATGGCTGGGCAGTGGGTGCCGTTCCTTGTTGCCCTCGGGCCGCCTCTTGACCTTTTTCCTCTCCTCCTTTTCTTCCTCTTCCTCCTCCTCTTCTTCTTCCTCCATTGCCTGTCTCCACTGTCTCTTCCTCTCTGTCTTTCTCTTCCCTGGCCTCAGTTGTCCGAGCGCTTTTGCTGCGCTGACCGATGCATGACGTGCGCGCGGCTCGACTTGGCATGCCTTTCTCGTCTCACCACTTTGGCCTTTGGCTGCTTCCCTTCTCCTGGCTTCCCTTCCTTGCCTCACAGCTGCTTTGCAGGTCCCGACGGAAAGGGGAGGGCTGCGCCACCGCCCCGAGCCTGCCTGGCAGAGAGACCCTCTCCTCCCCACGCATTGCCGAGCAGGCAAAGTCCGGCTGCAGCTACGCAACGACACTCTCCAAGGGCTGCATGGAGCAAAGTCATACGATACACGGGAGCCCTTTTGCCCCGGCGGGGGGGAAATACGTACCCATGGCTATGGCTGTTTTTAAGACAGTGCCATCTGTGCACGTGCACATCATAGTTTATAGAGATCATACGAGTAAACGGGCCTGAAGTATCGTCAGTCTGAATGTTGACGGAGTGGGGGCCCAGATCACAGGAAAGAGGAAACGTATATATAGAAAATATGGTTGAAACTATTTAGGCTTCATCCTAAGTTGGTATTGATGAGGGGAATCTGGAAATGCATTTTTTTCCTGGCAATACGGTTAGATCCGGCCGGAACAATATGCGGCCCGCGGGCCGGATACGGCCCTGACAAGGAGTTGGTGCAGCCCACAGAAAAAAACGAAGCACACAACAATAACAAATCCTAATTAATAGTTATTTGACCTTTGCTTAGCCCCCCCCCCCCTCCCGATGGCACAGCGGGTTAAACCACTGAGCTGCCAAATCGAAAGGTTGGCGGTTTGAATCCAGGGAGTGGGGTGAGCTCCCGCTGTTAGCCCACGAGTTCGCATAGGTTGTTATGGGGAAGACCATTGCTTTAACTGTGCGGACCTTTGTTGCCAGTGTGATGTCTCTACTCTTCACTTACATACTTGCATATTATTTTATTTATTTATTTATTTACAGCTTTTATATTCCGCCCTTCTCACCCCGCAGGGGACTCAGGGCAGATTACAGTGTACACATATATGGCAAACATTCAATGCCAATTTTGATACAACATATACAGACATACACAGAGGCTATTTAACTTTTTCTGGCCGCCAGGGGAGCTGTCGCTTTCATCGTCCATCTGCGACACTGATGAAGTACTTCCGCATTCCCCGCATGCTTCCCCGCTGGAATGCTTTGCTGGAGTCTTCTTTATGGCCTCATAAATTAGTTAATTTAGCCTCCCCACACTTTTAAGGTGGTACCTAATTTTCCTACTTGACAGATGCAACTGTCTTTCGGGTTGCAAAGGTCGACAACAGGCTACACAATTGGTTGGAAACCCACTCCAACCCGGGCTGGCTTCAAACTCATGACCTTTTGGTCAGAGTGATCTTAATGCAGCTGACACTCGGCCAGCTGCGCCACAATCCTTTGATATTTCTCTTTGAGAAAAATCAAAACCTGAATGAAAGAAAACAAGCTTCCAGTGAAACAAATAGATTCGAACGAGCCTGAAGTCTTTAATATTGGAAAGGAATGCAAAATTGAATGTGTAGCAGCCAATCCAAGGGTTATCCTTTGAGACTCTGCACAAATTGGTTTCTGTCATTTATGTTATTTCCTGCTTTAATATACACAGCCAAGGCAGTTGACCCTCCGTATCCGTGGAATCTGTCTCTGTGGATTCAACCCTCCACGGCTTGAACATATTATATATATATATATATATTAAAATCCAAAAGGCAAACTTTCGTTTTGCCATTTTGTATAAGAGACGGCACTTTCCGGTGTCAGTGTATATAAATGGGACTTGGGCATCCACGGATTTGGGTCTTGGAACCAAACCCCAACGGATACCAAGGGCCTAACTGTACATACATGTAAACGTTTTGCAGTTTTTACGATATCTCGAGAGGCTACACACTTGACTCTTTGTGCTATTAAAGACTTGAAAGACGCTCTCGTACATGAGGCTCAAAGTTGTCGCGTGCTCGTTTTGGTTGGAATTGATATTCCCCGAAAATGGAAAAAAACACATTGGCTGGGATGCTTGTTTGCAATGCAAATAATCTTCCATATTTTTGACAGACCCATAAATCAAATTACGTTTGAGAGAGGAAAGTCCATGCCATTTGAGCCTCACGTATGAAAGCAGACAACTCCGTGGCATTGGTTTCATGATCGGGCTTTCTTTGTCGCTCCCTCCGGCTTTCTGCTCCTGAAAAGCGTCCAAAGGCATCCTTGGGGTGGATTCAGGACCCATTTTCCAAGTGCCACATGGGGCAAGCACATCTTCTCTTCTCGATGCTCCTCAGAAAGTATCTGAGATGTCAGGACTACATTGGGAACTGTGTTGGAAACGAGGCAAGTGGGGTCGATATATCTGTGGAATAATGTCCAGGGTGGGAGAAGGACCTCTTGTATGTTTGAGGTAGGTGTGAATGTTTCAATTGGCCACCTTGATTGGTATTTAATGGCCTTGCAGCATCAAAGCCTGGCTGCTTCCTGCCTGGGGGAATCCTTTCTTGGGAGATGTTAGCTGGCCCTAATTGTTTCCTGTCTGGAATTCCCCTGTTTTTTGAGTGTTGCTCATTATTTTCAGTCAAATAAAGGATTCCCCCAGGCAGAAGACATCCAGGCTTTGAAGCTGCCAGGCTATTCAATGCTAATCAAGGTGGCCAACAGCAACATTCAGACTTGGGGTCTTTCTTTCTCCCACCCTGGACATCATTCCACAAGGATGGATATATAAGTCCCACTTGCCTTGTTTCCAACAGACCCCTCAACCTCTGAGGGTTTGTTGTTGTTTTTTGGTCGTGTCAAGAGCGACTTGAGAAATTGCAAGTTGCTTCTGGTGTGAGAGAATTGGCCATCTGCAAGGACGTTGCCCAGGGGATGCCCAGATGTTTTTGACCATCCTCATGTCCCTTTTGCATGAGAAGAACTTAATGCCTCACTTAGTAAATTTTTTTGTTTTTTGGTCGTGTCAGGAGCGACTTGAGAAACTGCAAGTGGCTTCTGGTGTGAGAGAATTGGCCGTCTGCAAGGACGTTGCCCAGGGAATGTTTGGATGTTTTTGACCATCCTCATGTCCCTTTTGCATGAGAAGAACTTAATGCCTCACTTAGTAAAAAAAAAATTTTTTGGTCGTATCAGGAGCGACTTGAGAAACTGCAAGTCACTTCTGGTGTGGGAGAATTGGTCGTCTGCAAGGACGTTGCCCAGGGGATATTTGGATGTTTTTGATCATCCTCATGTCCGCTTTGCATGAGAAGAAATGAATGCCTCGCTTAGTAAATGTGCAGCGCGCAGAGCCATGTCCCCAACTGGGTAGGGCTCCTGACCATTGCCAATGCTTGGGCCTGGGAAGATGGGAATTGGACTTCCAACCACATCTGGAGGGCGCCTGGTGAGAGGAACATGGTGCAGAAGGCTAGAGGGATGCAACTTTCCGGTTTCTGGGCAGAACATTCCCTTCTCCTGCCATCTCACTGCTCTTGGACCGAGTGGTTCACCGCTCGGATGGGGAATGCTAGGGAAGTGCGCTAGGAGCGGGGCCTTTTGGCCGTGCAAGGTGTTGGCCCCACTCCCTTTGCGAGGCCCCCGTTCCCGCACAGGCCGCCGCGGCCGCTCTGTTTTGTCAGCCTGTCGCCCTCTGTCTGCCCATGCAGGTTACGCTTCGCTGCAGGACGAGCTGCTCTCCCCCGCCTCCCTGCATTATGCGCTGCCCTCCCCGCTGCGTGCTGACCAGTACTGGAGCGAGGTGGCCATTATGGACGCCATCCCCATGGCCGCCAGCGAGCAGGACGCCCTGATGGAGATGTCGGACATGCAGGTGTGGTCCTCGGGGCTGACCCCCTCGCTGGTGACCGCCGAAGACTCCTCCCTGGAGTGCAGCAAGGCCGAGGACTCGGACGCCACGAGCGAAGGCCGCTTCCCGGGACACATCCCGGAGGAAGTCCACGGCCCCGACCCGCTGGGCTCCATGGACCTGGTCGAGGACGACACCGTGGACTCAGACGCCATGAATGGCCTGATGGACATGCTAGAGCAGGAGGAAGGTCAGAGGTCAGAGGGGAGGAGGCCAGACGGCGAGCACCAGGCGGGCCTCGGGGTGGAGCGGGGCCTCTGCCGGGGCGGTTTCCCACAGTCACCTCTCTCTCCTTTCAGGCCAGCAGAAGGTGCAAGCCCACATCACGGAGTCGCCCTCGGTCAGCCGCGTCGTGGACAAGGGCAAAGACAGGTACGGACGGGAGACCTCCGGAGCATTGCCTTGCTCCTCCTCGATATTATTTATTCTTTTACTAGCCGTCCCCTGCCACGCGTTGCTGTGGCCCACATGGGGGTTCTATGTGGGAGGTTTGGCCCAATTCTATCATTGGTGGGGTTCAGAATGCTCTGTGATTGTAGGTGAACTATAAATCCCAGCAACTACAACTCCCAAATGTCAAGATTCTATTTTCCCCAAAACCACCAGTGTTTTCTGTTGGTCATGGGAGTTCTGTGTGCCAAGTTTGGCCCAATTCTGTTGGTGGGGTTCAGAATGCTCTTTGATTGTAGGTGAACTATAAATTCCAGCAACTACAACTCCCAAATGTCAATGACTGTTTCCCCCAAACTTCACCAGTGTTCACATTTGGGCATTTTGAGTATTCGTGCCAAGTGTGGTTCAATTCCATCTTTGGTGGGGTTCAGAATGCTCTGTGATTGTAGTTGAACTATAAATCCCAGCAACTACAACTCCCAAATGTCAAGAGTCTATTTCCCCAAACTCCACTTGTTTTTGGGCTTGGCAGATCCATCTTGTTAGCGATGCCCAAGCTCTCTTGTCGCGTATAATCTTGCCAAAATCCGTTCGGTAGGCGTCAGCAACAATGCTCTGTGTTTGTTAGGTGACACTATAACACATCCCCCAGCCACAACCACTACACGAACCTCCCGAAAACTGTTCAAGACATTCTACCTTCTTACCCCCAAAACCCACCCACTGTGACTTTCGCTGGCGCTCAATCACACCCACCCGGGAGTTCTGTGTGCCAAGTTTGGTCGCTACAATTGCGTTTCTAACATATGGTGGGGTTCAGAATGCCTCCTTCTGGAATTTCAACGCCCACCAAATCCTATAACTCCCAAATGTCAAGATTCTATTTCCCCAAACTCCACCAGTGTTCACATTTTGGGCATAGTTGTAGTTTCGTTGCAGAGAGCACTGTGAGACTCAAACAATGATGGATCTGGACCAAACTTGGCACAAATACTCAATATGCCGAAATGTGAACACTAGTGGAGTTTGGGGGAAATAGACCTTGATATTTGGGAGTTGTAGTTGCTGGGAGTTATAGTTCACCTATACAATCAAAGAGCACTCTGAACCCAGCCCACAATGGATCTGCACCAAACTTGGCACACTACCTACATGACCAAAATTGAATTGGGCCACACTGAACCTCATGACCAACAGAAAATGCTGTGTTTTCTGATGGTCTTTGGTGACCCTTCTGACACCCCCTTGTGACCCCCAACCAGGGGTCCCGACCCCCAGGTTGAGAAACAATGAAATAGAGTTTCGAGTCTGAACATGCTCCGTACAATCACATGTCTGTAGCCCCTCCCTCACCAAAGAGGTCAGTCAATATGACAAATCAGCATATACATTAGCAAATCTATACATTAACTAACACAACAATGAAGGCTAGGAAGATAGTAAATAATAATAATGATGATGATAATAATAATAATAATAATAATAATAATACTTTATTTATACCCCGCCACCATCTCCCAAAGGGACTCGTAGTGGCTTACATGAGGCCGAGCCCAGCAGTACATCAATAAACAAAAGCAATAAACAAAAACAACAAATACAATACAATTAATATAAATCACATATAAACAATAAACAGTAAACAGTAACACAAAAGGATTTAAAAACCTATGGCCAGGCCAAATGTAATAGTTTAAAAATTAAAAAATAAAGGCTGGACATGAATAAGGTAGGACATATTTGGTATAAGGTTTTCAAAGAGAGATGAGGGAATGCAATCAGTCCTAAACTAGTAGTAAAGTGCATCCTGAGGGCATATTGCTGAGAATTTTCCTTATTCTTGGAAGGCACACTGGAACAGCCACATTTTCAGGTTCCTCCTAAAGACTGCCAGAGTTGGGACATGCCTGATGTCCTTGGGGAGTGAGTTCCAGAGTCGGGGGGCCACCACCGAGAAGGCTCTCTCCCTCGTCCCCACCTATCACGCCTGCAAAGGAGGTGGGAGTGCAAGCAGGGCCTCTCCAGCTGATCAAAGAGATAGTGTGGGTTCGTACACAGAAATGCGTTCACGTAGGTAGGCGGGCCCCAAATTGTTCAGGGCTTTGTAGGTAAGAACCTGCACCTTGAATTGGGACCGGAAAATGAATGGCAGCCAATGGAGCTCCTTGAACAGGAGGGTTGACCACTCTCTGTAAGAACCCGGTTAACAACCTGGCTGCCGCCCGTACCCAGAAGTGTTATTGGGGGACTCCTGTTCAACACCACAGCCTTTGACTTGTGGGGTTCCACAGGGCTCTATACTGTCCCCCATGCTGTTTAACATCTACATGAAGCCGCTGGGTGAGATCATCCGGAGTTTCGGGTGCGATGTCATCTGTACGCAGATGATGTCCAACTCTGTCACTCCTTCCCTCCTGCTACTAAGGAGGCTGTCGAGGTCCTGAACCGGTGCTTGGCCGCTGTGACGGTCTGGATGAGGGCGAACAAATTGAAATTGAATCCAGACAAGACAGAGGTACTCCTGGTCAGTCGCAAGGCCGAACAGGGTATAGGGTTACAGCCTGTGCTGGATGGGGTCGCACTCCCCTTGAAGGCGCAGGTTCGCAGCTTGGGTGTGATCCTGGATTCATCGCTGAGCCTGGATCCCCAGGTTTCAGCGGTGACCAGGGGAGCATTTGCACAGCTTAGGCTCGTGCGCCAGCTGCGCCCGTATCTTGGGAAGTCTGACTTGGCCACGGTGGTACACACCGTTCTGGTCACATCCCGCCTTGACTACTGCAACGCTCTCTACGTGGGGCTGCCCTTGAAGACGGCCCGGAAGCTTCAGCTAGTTCAGCGTGCGGCAGCCATGTTACTAACAGGAGCGGGACGCAGGGAGCGTACCACGCCCTTGTTGTCCCAGCTCCACTGGCTGCCGATTTGCTATCGGGCCCAATTTAAGGTGAGGTGCTTTCCTACAAAGCCCTAAACGGTTCCGGCCCAAAATACCTTTCGCACCGGCCGCGCATCTATGCCCGGCCTACCTTGAGACCCACGAGCGCGCGGACCCCCTTCGACACCTCGTCCCCAATGGCCGGCCCAGGCCCTATCTCATCGATCCCCCGACAGCCCTCGCCTTCACCCCAGGCACCGATTCTGGCGAGGGACGAGCAAAGAGGGCCCTTCTCTGGCTCGGTAGCCACACACAACCCGGCCGGCGTGTGGGTGGCCCCCCGGCTGTGGAACACTCTCCCTGCTGACATCAGACAGGCGCCCTCCCTTATGTCGTTCCGTAAGAGCCTAAAGACTTGGCTATTCGAGAAGGCATTTAATTGAGTGCTACATTAACTGGTAATGACAACTGGAACGGAATATGGACTACGAGATTGGTTATGATCCTAGGATGTGACGGAGCGGATTATTTAGTGTAATTTAGATTATTGTGTATTACTGATATGTTGATTTTCTGTGTTGCTCTATTGTATACTGTTTTTATATGTTGTACACCGCCGCGAGTTGCCCTAGGGCTGAGAGCGGCGGTCAATAAATGAAGCAAATAAATAAATAAATAATAAATAAATAAACTTTCATCTTGTTATTTCCAACAAGATGAAAGGTTGACTGCTGTCACACGCTGGGCCTGTGAAAGAGTCTGTAGACAGGACGTGTTTTCTGAATGTCCAACGGGACGCCGGGGGTGCCTCGGCTGAGAGGCCTTTCAGATTTCCCCACACAAAAACTTAGCAAGTTCAACAAAGTTTTTATTGTTGCTTAAATCTTCAATAAATCAAACAAATACTTCAAGGCTTTGAATCTTCTGGTGGTTTGCTCAAATCTTGTCCACAAGGGACAGGCAACTTTCTTCATAAACCGTTTCTCCTCCTACAAGGGAAATCCTTGACCCTTCCTTGGGCAATCTGACTTAAGCTCTGCTGGCGTGGGCCTTGACCCCTCCCTGGGCAATTTGGCTTCAGCTCTGCTGGCGTGGGCCCCTACACCCGGTCCAAATAGCGTTATGGCTGCCGCGAGTGGTCCTTACCAAACAGAGTCCTTTTGTAGATTTCCAAGAGGAAAGAAGGCTTTCAATTCCCAGCGAAGGCTGGCTGTAGAGTTGTGGAACTAAATTCCCCAACAAAGGCTATGCTGTAGTTCTCTGTAGAGCTGTGGGACTGGATCCCCCCAGCAAAGCTGGAAAAGACGAAGCTTTCTACAGGTGGAACTGATTCACATCCTGTACGAAAGGCTTCTCTGTGAGAACTGAACTAGAGGTCCCCTTTTTATTTATTTATTTCGTGCACTTCTACCCCACCCTTCTCAACCCCCGAGGGGGGACTCAGGGCGGCTTACAAAAGGCATAATTCGATGCCAGCAATACAGACAATAAGATAAAATATATATCAGCAACAATTATAAAACAATTAAAACAATCTAGTTATACATCACAACTAATAAAAAACCAATCTAATGATAAACGTTCGTCAAGCTCATTTCTCTCCCTTCACCTTCCATTTCGCGCGCCTAACACCGCCACACCGAACACTCACATATGGCAAGCCCCACATCCCTCCTCACTGCCACAAGACGCGATTCACTTGTGTAGGCCTCTGTTGGAAATAGGACAATGGGTTTATATATCTGTGGAATGGCTGGGGTTTGGCAAAGAGCTCTTCTCTGCTGGAGCTAGGTGTGAATGTTTCAACTGACCACCTTCATTAGCATTTGAAGGCCTGGCTGAACACGAATCAAGGAACATGAAAGGCACTGCAGACTACTTCAGCCAGAGAAGTCAGCCATAGCAGAGCACCTGAGGAACCAACCTGGACACAGCATGTTATTTGAGAACACGGAAATGCTGGACCACTCTCACAAACGCCATGTCAGACTACACAGAGAAGCCATTGAAATACACAAGAAGCAGGTGGACAATTTCAACAGAAAGGAAGAGACCATGAAAATGAACAAAATCTGGCTACCAGTATAAAAACTCTAAAATTACAACAGCAAAACAGCAGAGAGGAAACAACCAGGCACATCTTAACACCTCTCAACAAAAGATTTTCCCAGGCTCAGCCAGGCCTTCCAATGCTAATGAAGGTGGTCAGTTGAAACATTCACACCTAGCTCCAGCAGAGAAGAGCTCTTTGCCCCACCCCAGTCATTCCACAGATATATAAACCCATTGTCCTATTTCCAACAGACCTCACTACCTCTGAGGATGCTTGCCATAGATGCAGGCGAAACGTCAGGAGAAATTATTATTATTATTATTAAACTTTATTTGTACCCCACTAGCATCTCCCGAAGGACTCGATGCGGCTTACAAAGGCCAAGGCCTCAACACAACAGCAATAAACAACACAAAACAATACAAAACAAAGCAAATTAAAAACATAAGCAATAGCAAAACATTACACTATTAGACAATAAAAACCATGGCCGGGCCAATGATGGGTACAGGTTAAAAAGTGCTGGGTGTGACAGGAGGTGTATTGGAAATCTGGGCAAGTGCCATGTGCAGAGAGTCTTAAACTCTAGTAAAGTGCTTCTCGGACAAAGTGCTGGGTTATCCTATTCTGGAAAGGCACGACGGAATAGCCAGGTCTTCAAATTCTTCCTAAAGACTGCCAACGTAATGTTCTAGAAATGCCTCTAGAACATGGCCGTATAGCCCGAAAAAACCCACAAGAACCTAGTGATTCCAGCCATGAAAGCCTTCGACAATACATAGTCATTAAAACAATTAAAACAATCAATTATACATCATAATCCATAAAAACCAATCTAGTGCTCAATGTTCGCCAGCTCAGAATCCGTAAATTCATTCCACATTGTCAAATCCTATCAATTCTAGTCATCATTGTCCTTTGTCTATCTGCCAGATTACCCAAAAGCCTGGTCCCATATCCATGTTTTTAGTTTCCTTCTAAAAGAGAGGAGGGATGTCGATGACCTAATTTCCCCGGGGAGTGAATTCCACAGGCGAGGGGCCACCACCGAGAAGGCCCTGCTCCTCATCCCCACCAACCTCACTTGTGATAGAGGTGGGGCCGAGAGCAGGGCCTCCCCAAGAGATCTTAAACTCCGAGGCACGACGTAGAAGACAGATATGCTGGCCTACAAAATTTTGACCTACAAAACCGTATAGGGTTTTGTAGGTCAAAACCAGCACTTTGAATTGTGCTCGGAATTGGATCGGCAGCCAATGGAGCTGACACAACAGAAGGGTGGTATGCTCCCTGTATGATGCTCCGGTGAGTAATCTAGCTGCCGCCCGCTGGACTAATTGAAGTTTCCGAACAGTCTTCAAAGGCAACCCCACTTAGAGTGCGTTGCAGTAATCTATTCGGGATGTAACAAGGAGCGTGGACCACTGTGGCCAGATCAGACTTTCCCTCCTTAACCCAGAAAAAGGGGCGGGACTAAAGAACATAATGATAATTGATGTGCCATTGGCCCTATGATTGCAAACCAAGGGAAGCCACCTTATTGCAAAATGCATGGAACTTTGGAACAGTCTTTAAAGGCAACCCCACGTAGAGTGTGTTGCAGTAATCTATTCGGGATGTAACAAGGAGCGTGGACCACTGTGGCCAGATCTGACTTTCCCTCCTTAACCCAGAAAAAGGGGCGGGACTAAAGAACATAATGATAATTGATGGGTCATTGGCCCTATGATTGCAAACCAAGGGAAGCCACCTTATTGCAAAATGCATGGAACTTTGGAATGCATGCAAACACTCAATAGAAAGGGAAAGAAGTTGGAGCTCCTGGTACAGCCGTACCAGCACATTGACACAATTTCCCAGTCCTTGAGTGACCCCTGCTCCCATGATGTTAGCCATGTTCTTTTCGTGCCCACCAACTCCTTCCTGCTTGTCTCTGTGTCCGTGGTCTCCAGGCTGGGCGAATGGGCGGTGGAGAGCTCCTTCATCTCGACCTTCTCGGACCTGCCCAAAGGAGTGTCCTTGAGTCCGCCCAGGTTGCGGCCGGCGGTGCCCTACAAGGTGCGGGGCCGGGAGCGGGAGAGGCCGGAGCACATGCGCATTGACTCCTCGGAGGAGAGGGAGAGCCCCCCGCCACACAAGGATTGGGGCCTCCAGCCGGGGAGGCGGACGGGCCTCACCCAGTGGCTCAAGGAGACCACCGAGAGCAGCCTCTTCGGACAAACGCAGGTACGAGGATGCCCAGGGGTGTTCAGACAAGTGGGAACGGATGACCTCACTACCTCTGAGGATGCTTGACATAGATGCAGGCAAAACATCAGGAGAAAATGCCTCTAGAACATGGCCATATAGCCCGAAAAAAACCCACAAGAACCTAGTGATTCCAGCCATGAAAGCCTTCGACAATACAATAATAATAATAATAATACTTTATTTATACCCCGCCACCATCTCCCCAAGGGGAGCGGCTTACATGAGGCCAAGCCCTACCTCTGACGGTGTCTGTCATAGATAGATGCAGGCGAAACGTCAGGAGAGAATGCTTCGGGAACATGGCCAGACAGCCTGGAAAACTCACAGCAACCTGCAAGTCCCACCCTGGTCATTCCACAGATATATAAACCCATTTACCTAGTTCCAACAGACCTCACTACCTCTGAGGATGCTTGCCATAGATGCAGGCGAAACGTCAGGAGAGAATGCTTCTGGAACATGGCCAGACAGCCTGGAAAACTCACAGCAACCTGCAAGTCCCACCCTGGTCATTATTCCACAGATATATAAACCCATTTACCTAGTTCCAACAGACCTCACTACCTCTGAGGATGCTTGCCATAGATGCAGAAACGTCAGGAGAGAATGCTTCTGGAACATGGCCAGACCGCCTGGAAAACTCACAGCAACCTAGTGATTCCAGCCATGAAAGACCACAGATATATAAACCCATTTTCCTATTCCCAACAGACCTCACTACCTCTGAGGATGCTTGCCATAGATACAGGTGAAACGTCAGGAGAGAATGCCTCTAGAACATGGCCATATAGCCTGAAAAAACCTGTAATGGCCTGGTCATTCCACAGATATATACACCCTTTTTCCTACTTCCAACAGACCTCACTACCTCTGAGGATGCTTGCCATAGATGCAGGCGAAACGTCAGGAGAGAATGCTTCTGGAACATGGCCAGACAGCCTGGAAAATTCACAGCAACCTAGAATAGTTCCATTGCAGAATGTTTAAGGAAAGCTAATGTTACAAGGAGAAATTCTCTGAAATTGCCAAAGCTGCGTGAGGGTTTTCACGGTCCCATTTGGGATTTCCTGGGAGTGTTGTGTTTCCTGCTTGTTTTAGGACTCTCTCTCGCTTTCCCCCTCTCTTGTTGTTGTCTTTTTTTTTTTTTTGCTCAAAGAGTAGGGAAATGTGCAAAATCAGGCTTCCTTGCTGAGGTTTGCAGTGCGGATCAGCAGGCGTCTGCTTGCTTCCTTCAGTGTGGGCCGCGGGGAGAGTGGACCAGGCGTGAGCCCGTCCACCGGCTTGCATTTCGCCTCCCAGCTCTATTTATAACCGCAACTGGGCGGCTTGTTTGCTTGCTTCCAAATTGGGAAGTCCTCTGAAAGGGACCCGAAATAGAAGCTCCCCTGCATTCCTGACCTTGGTGGGTCGCTGTGCCAGACTTAGGACATGCAAACATTGGAGAAGTTACTTTTTAGGAACTACCGCTCCCCAGATCCCCCAGTCAGGCTTTAGTCACGTTATATTGTCAAAGGCTTTCATGGCTGGAATCACTGGGTTGTAGGTTTTTTCAGGCTATATGGCCATGTTCCAGAGGCATTCCCTCCTGATGTTTCGCCTGCATCTACGGCAAGCATCCTCAGAGGTACTGAGGTCTGTTGGAACTAGGAAAATGGGTTTATATATCTGTGGCATAATGTCCAGGGTGGGACAAAGAACTCTTGTCTGTTGGAGCGAGGTATGAATGTTTCAACTGACCACCTTGATTAGCATTTGATGGCCTGGCAGTGCCTGGGGCAATCTTTTGTTGAGAGGTGATTAGCTGTCCATAATTGTTTCCTCTCTGTTGTTTTGCTGTTGTAATTTTAGAGTTTTGTAATACTGGCATCCGGATTTTGTTCATTTTCATGGTTTCCTCCTTTCTGTTGCAATTGTCCACATGTTTCTTGTGGATTTCAGTGTCTTCTCTGTGTAGCCTGACATGGTGGTTGTGAGTGTGGTCCAGCATTTCTGTCTTCTCAAATAATATGCTGTGTCCAGGTTGGTTCATCAGGTGCTCTGCTATGGCTGACTTCTCTGGTTGAAGGAGTCTGCAGTGCCTTTCATGTTCCTTGATTCGTGTTTGGACAATGCTGCGTTTGGTGGTCCCTATGTAGACTTGTCCACAGCTGCATGGTATACGGTAGACTCCTGCAGAAGTGAGAGGATCCCTCTTGTCCTTTGCTGAACGTAGCATTGGTTGGATTTTCTTGGTGGGTTTGTAGAATCTGCGAAGCCCACCTCCTCCTCCAAGATGAACTGAACCACCTCAACTGGGCTCTCCAGGCCAAGGGAGACTCCACCTCAGACATCAGAAGAGCTGCAAGACAACCGAGAAGAAGCCACGAGAGTCAAGACCAAGACCCACCCAGAGGGAAAGTGTTCTTGCCATACATCAAGGGAACCACTGACCGCAGAGGGAAGCTGATGAGGAAACACAACATACAAACTATCTACAAACCCACCAAGAAAATCCAACAAATGCTACGTTCAGCAAAGGACAAGAGGGATCCTCTCTTCTGCAGGAGTCTACTATACCATGCAGCTGTGGACAAGTCTACATAGGGACCACCAAACGCAGCATTGCCCAAATACGAATCAAGGAACATGAAAGGCACTGCAGACAACTTCAACCAGAGAAGTCAGCCATAGCAGAGCACCTGATGAACCAACCAGAGAACACAGAAATGTTGGACCACACCAACAACCACCATGTCAGACTATACAGAGAAGCCATTGAAATCCACAAGCATGTGGACAATTTCAACAGAAAGGAAGAGACCATGAAAATGAACAAAATCTGGCTACCAGTATTAAAAAACTCTAAAATTGAAACAGCAAAACAACAGAGAGGAAACAACCAGGACATCTAATCACTTCTCAACAAAATATTTCCCCAGGCACTCGCCAGGCCGTCAAATGTCTAATCTAAGGTATGTTCTTTGTAAACATTCCACATACCATTGCTCCAGGCAGACCAACGGGTTCTTTGTTTGTTTGTTCCAAAACTTTTGCCATACAACTGTTTGGTTTGCTCCTTTTTTTTTTTTGTCGTGTCAGGAGTGACTCCTGGTGTGAGAGAATTGGCCGTCTGCAAGGATGTTGCCCAGGGGACGCCTGGATGATTTGATGTTTTATCATCCTTGTGGGAGGCTTCTCTCATGTCCCCGCATGAGGAGCTGGAGCTGATAGAGCTCATCCGCCTCTCCCCGGATTCGAACCTGCAACCTGTCGGTCTTCAATCCTGCCGGCACAGGGGTTTAACCCACTGCGCCACCGTCCCCACATGGAGAGCTGGAGCTGACAGAGGGAGCTCATCCGTGCTCTCCCCAGATTCGAACCTGCGACCTGTTGGTCTTCAGTCCTACCGGCAGAGGGGTTTAACCCACTGTGCCATCGGGGGCTCCATTCCACAGATGTATAAACCCATTTTCCTAGTTCCAACAGACCTCACTGCCTCTGAGGATGTTTGCCATAGATGCAGGCGAAACGTCAGGAGAGAATGCCTCCAGAATATGGTCATATAGCCCAAAAAAACCTACAACCTTTAGTCACGTTGACCATAATTTACAAGTGCTCTCAAATGGATTTGAGTGCTGAATGGCCCCTGCCAAGGGATGCCCACTCCTTCGGAGCATGACGGTCCTCGGCCAGAGCGAGGTGACATTGATCGGGCTCCTCAGCTGCTCCCTCCTAGCTGAGGTCCTCCAGTTGGTGCTCAGTAGACCGGCTAAAATTACCATGCCTCCACCCATCCCCAAGTCGGGAAGTGTTCCTGCTGTCGTGCCAGCACAGGCATTGCTCTCCGGCCATGGAAAGGGAAGGCAGGTTTTAGGGTCTGGGTCAGGAGTGGGGAAACCGTGGTGGGCACCATGTGGGGCTTCCTGACCCAGCTGCTCATCAGCTTGGTGCTGCTGGGCTTCTTCCTGGTCAGCTGCCAGAACCTCTTGCACATCGCCCAAGGCTCGTTCCGCTTTGTGTTGAAGCACATCCACCAGGAGCTGGACAAGGAGCTGGGCGAGACCGAGGGGCTCAGCGACGATGAGGAGCCCGTCTCCACCCGCGTGGTGCGGCGACGGGTCATCGTCCAGGTAGCCGCCCGCCCAAGAGGGGTTGGGGCCGCAGAGGAGCGTGTCAAAGCGTTGGCAGCACTGGGGGGTCCTTGGCTCAGCTCATGCCTTGGACCACCGAGGGTGTGACGGAGACGTCCATGAGACGTCTGGCATAAACATCAGCCTTTTCTTTCCCTGTTCTTCTTTCAGGGCAACGAAGCGCTGGAGATTCCTGGGGAACAAGTGACCGAAGAACAATTCACTGACGAGCAAGGCAACATCATCACCAAGAAAGTGAGTTGGGGGTGGAGGGGAAGGGAGGTGGGCACCCGCATCCGAACCCCTGAAACGCCCACCCATAAAGGGCTCTGTCTCCACCCTTGCCCTGGATTGAGAACCTGTTCCTTTATGTCATTATGACACTAGGTACCATCATCCAGTCGTCCCTCTTTGCCAACTTTCCAGCTCATCACATTGACTCAATTCCACTGAGTGCTACACTTAAAATCTGAGAAGCCACTCTTGTCATCACACTAGTGTAGCATAGAGCATTCTTTGTGTATTTTAAGCATGGGGGCCAGCATTCTTTTCAAACTTTTCACAAGGTGATGGGGAAGTGGGTTTTTGGGAATCATCCGGATGATTGGCCATTTCTGTAATGTGATGGCATTACTACTACTACTACTACTACTATTATGCTGTATCTCCATGCAGTGCAGTCCTGGGAGTCATAGTTTTCCAAGGTCTATATCCTTCTCTTGGTGCATTTACAGTATGGAATGAATGCCCTTGCACCCCCACTTTAAATGCCATGGCTCCATGCTGTACAGTCCCGGGAGTTATAGTTTCCCAAAGTCCATACCCTTCTCTTGGTGCAGTTACACTATGGAATGATTCCTCTTGGACCCCACTTTAAATACCATGGCTCCATATTATGTGATCCTGGGAGTTATAGTTTTCCAAGATCCATACCCTTCTCTGGCTACATGTAGTCAGGACTTATTTTAAATACCATTATTATTATTATTATTATTATTATTATTATTATTATTATTATTATGCCATATCTCCATGCAGTGCAGTCCTGGAAGTCATAGTTCTCCAAGGTCTATACCCTTCTCTTGGTGCATTTACAGTATGGAATGAATGCCCTTGCACCCCCACTTTAAATGCCATGGCTCCATGCTGTGCAATCCCAGGAGTTATAGTTTCCCAAAGTCCATACCCTTCTCTTGGTGCAGTTACACTATGGAATGATTCCTCTTGGACCCCACTTTAAATACCATGGCTCCATGCTATGTGTTCCTGGGAGTTATAGTTTCCCTTCTCTGATTAAACGCAGTCAGAACCCATTTTAAATGCCATTATTATTATTATTATTATTATTATTATTATTATTATTATTATGCTGTATCTCCATGCTGTGCAGTCCTGGGAGTCATAGTTTTCCAAGGCCCATACCCTTCTCTTGGTGTAGTTACAGTATGGAATGAATGCCCTTGCACCCCCACTTTAAATTCCATGGTTCCATGCAATGGAGTCCTCCTGGTAGTTATAGTTTCCCAAGGTCCATACCCTTCTCTTGATGCTTCTACACTGTGGAATGAATGCAGGTGGACCTTGCTTTAAATGCCATGTCTCCATGAGAATTGCACTTTCCAATTGCACCCTCTCTGGGTGCATCTACACTCTGAAATGAATGCAGCTGGACCTTACTTCAAATACCCATAGCTCCATACTATGGAGTCCTGGGAGTTATAGTTCCTCAAGGTCCACACCCTTCTCTTGGTGCCTTTACACTGTGGAATGAATGCAGGTGGGTCTTACTTTAAATGCCATTGCTCCATGAGATGGTCTTGGGAATTGTAGTTTCCAAAAGTCCACAAACCCTCTCTGGGTGCATCTACACTGTGAAATGAATGCAGATGGACCTTACTTGGATGATGGTAGGTCAACATCCCTTTCATTGAAAACTGGATCTCTACTTCAATGTGATGAAGTTGGTTTGCATGACTGGTTGATCCTTTAATTAATTGATGACCGTGAGAGGGGCCGACCGAGGGCAAGATGGATGGATGGGATCCTTGAAGTGACTGGCTTGACCTTGAAGGAGCTGGGGGTGGTGACGGTCGACAGGGAGCTCTGGTGTGGGCTGGTCCAGGAGGTCACGATGAGTCGGAAACGACCGAACGAATGAACAACAACAACGAGATCTGCACCCCAGTTGCAGGCCTTCCATGTTGTGAGAGCCGCAGCCTGTAAGCTTTGTGCCCATGGTTTTGTTTCCTTGGAACGAGATCATAGAGCGTTTCTGGCCTTCTTGTGGCAAGAGTTGGCAGGATTCCCAAGGGGAGTGGGTGGGTTGCTGTTCCGTCTTCCAGGAGCTTGGTTTGCATTGCCCCTTAGTTGCATGAAATACCATCCTTTTGCATTTTCCCCCAGGGTTGCTACAGTCTCAGCGGCACCCTGAAAGTTAAGCATTAAGAGGGGCTTAAAGCCAGCTTGGTTTGTTATTGGTTTAAAAAGTATCTTTTGGTCCAGAGACCGCCCTTTTCCCTGGGGATGAGATCTCCATTTTGGAGAAGCTCTCCTGCCTTCTTCAGTTTAGAAAAAGCCTCAGATGTGCTGATGGTCAAGCTAGGCAGCTCGGACAGGCCATCGTGAGTATGATTAACCTCTCGCCTTTGAAACTGGCGCTGAGCTCAGATAGGGGAAGACCTGCTCTTTCTAAAGATAGCAGCTCAGCGCTGGGGCAGAGAATATCTCAGGATTTCTCTGCCATTGGGAGAGGCTCCATTACTTCATCCCCAAACTAACCTTGAGCTCAGATAGGGGAAGACCTGCTCTTTCTAAAGATAGCAGCTCAGGGTTAGGGTAAAGGATCCCAGGATTTTTCTACTGTTGGGGGAAGTCGACTCAGCAGCTGAAGGAAAAAGGAAGGAACATCTATATCAGTGTGTCTCAACCTTCCTAATGCCGCGACCCCTTAATACGTTCCTCATGGTGTGATGACCCCCCAGCCATAACATTATTTTGCTACATCATAACTGTAATTTTGCTCCTGTTATGAATCGTAATGTAATTATCTGATATGCAGGATGGATTTTCATTCACTGGACCACATTTGGCACAAATACCCGATATGCGCAAATTTGAATAGTGGTGGGGTGGGGTTGGTTGGGGGGGGGGGGGGTTGATTGATTTTGTCATTTGGGAGTTGTAGTTGCTGGGATTTATAGCTCATCTACAATCAAAGAGCATTCTGAACTCCACCAACAATGAAATTGAACCAAACTTGGCACACAAAGAAGCCATCAGAAAACACTGGAAGGGGTTGATGGGCACTGACCTTGAGTTTGGAGTTGTAGTTCACCTACATCCAGAGAGCACTGTGGACTCAAACAATGATGGATCTGGACCAAACTTGGCACAAATACTCAATATGCCCAAATGGGAACACTGGTGGAGTTTGGGGGAAACTGCCCTTGACATTTGGGGGTTGTAGTTGCTGGGATTTATAGTTCACCTACAATCCAAGAGCATTCTGAACCCCACCAATGATAGAATTGGGCCAAACTTCCCTTATAGAACCCCCATGACCAACAGAAAATACTGTGTTTTCTGATGGTCTTTGACAACCCCTCTGACTCTCCCTGGCGACCACCGCAGGGGTCCCGATCCCCAGGTTGGGAACCACTGAGTTATATAATTTCACAAGTTGACTGTGTTTGTAACTGCAACGAGCTGTGCCAAGTCTGCCAAGGACTTTGAGAAATAAATGTTCTGTTTGATGTTCAAATCTGGAGTGGCCTCAGTTGCTGAGAGTTTTAAGCTTCTAAGTAAGCACCCGCAGTTCACCCAGATAAAGAGAGAAGCACATCTTAGTTTTCACTTTATAGTGTCTGGGTGTGACGGCACAGTTGCACTCAAGGAGAGCGTGGAGGCTGGCCTTGACTTTCTGACTCCTCTTCCTCTGCAGATTATCCGGAAGGTGGTGCGGCAGCTGGATACGGACGGCACGGGCGATGGGCGGCAACACGAAGAGGTGATTATCCCGGGTTCCCTGCAGGATCCTTGTAAACTGGAAGACATTTGCTTTCAGAGGGGTGCCACTTGACAGCAAGGTCACCGAGCCCCTTGGGTGGCTTGGCCCTGCGGCTCTGGCTGTGCCCGCTCTGTCACCTCTCCCTTGCTCCGGCCCCCGTTCCTTCTCACCCTTGCCCAGCTGTGCCATCACCAGTGGGACCCGCCACCTGACCTCCTTCTCCTTGTGTTTCTCTGTCTCTCCGTCTGTCTGTCTCTTTCTCTCTCCGCCTGCCCACCTGCTCGCCTTGCTGGTTTGTCCGTGACTCTGTCCCGCTTTGCTGTCTCTTGCCGCTGTTCCTCAGGAGGAGGCCCAAGGGAGCGCCCCCAGAACGGAGCTGCTTGGGGGCAGGATGGGGGCTCAGATAGTGAAACGAGCCAGCCTGAAAAGGGGGAAGCAGTGAACCCCCCCAACCCTCCCTCCCTCCAGTGGCCTCTTTGGAGGTAAAGACCCCTTCGTTCTTACTCATCGCTGGAAAAGATGGGAGCATTGGTCAGTGGTGGTTGTGCCCATGAGCTTCTCTAGGATGGCAACATGCCATTTTCTATCCTTAGCCCAGACCCATTCGCTTTGGGCTTGGAACACGGCCAAAACTAGAAAGTTTTCCAAACTCTTGACCAGGGGTCCTCAAACTAAGGCCCGAGGGCCAGATACAGTCCTCCAAGATCATTTACCCGGCCCTCGCTCAGGGTCATCCTAATTCTGAAACGACTTGAAAGCACACAACAACAACTAAGGCCCGAGGGTCAGATATGGCCCTCCAAGGTCATTTACCTGGCCCTCGCTCAGGGTCAAGTTAAGTCTGAAATGACTTCAAAGTACACAACAACAACAACAACTAAGGCCCAGGGGTCGGATACGGCCCTCCAAGGTCATTTACCCAGCCCGCTCAGGGTCAACCTAAGTCTGAAATGACTTGAAAGCACACAACAACTAAGGGTTGAGGGCCAGATACAGCCCTCCAAGGTCATTTACCCGGCCCTCTCTCAGGGTCAACCTAATTCTGAAACAACTTGAAAGCACACAACAACTAAGGCCCGAGGGCCGTATCCGGCCCTCCGAGGTCATTTACCTGGCCCTCGCTCAGGGTCAACCTAAGTCTGAAATGACTTGAAATCACACAACAAAAACAACCACTAAGGCCCGAGGGCCAGATACGGCCCTCCAAGGTCATTTACCCGGCCCTCGCTCAGGGTCAACCTAAGTCTGAAATGACTTGAAATCACACAACAAAGACAACCACTAAGGCCCGAGGGCCAGATACGGCCCTCCAAGGTCATTTACCCGGCCCTCGCTCAGGGTCAACCTAAGTCTGAAATGACTTGAAATCACACAACAAAAACAACCACTAAGGCCCGAGGGCCAGATACGGCCCTCCAAGGTCATTTACCCAGCCCTCGCTCAGAGTCAACCTAAGTCTGAAATGACTTGAAAGCACACAACAACAACAACAAAAACAACAACAAAGGCCCGGGGGCCAGATGCAGCCCTCTAAGGTCATTTACCCAGCCCTCACTCAAGGTCAACCTAAGTCTGAAACGACTTGAAAGCACACAACAACAACTAAGGCCCAAGGGCTGGATACGGCCCTCCAAGGTCATTTACCCAGCCCTCGCTCAGGGTCAACCTAAGACTGAAATGACTTGAAAGCACACAACAACAACTAAGGCCCGAGGGCCAGATACGGCCCTCCAAGGTCATTTACCCGGCCCTCGCTCAGGGTCAACCTAAGTCTGAAATGACTTGAAATCACACAACAAAAACAACCACTATGGCCCGAGGGCCAGATACGGCCCTCCAAGGTCATTTACCCGGCCCTCGCTCAGGATCAACCTAATTCTGAAATGACTTGAAAGCACACAGCAACAATAACTAAGGCCCGGGGGCCAGATACGGCCCTCCAAGGTCATTTACCCGGCCCTCGCTCAGGATCAACCTAATTCTGAAATGACTTGAAAGCACACAGCAACAATAACTAAGGCCCGGGGGCCAGATACGGCCCTCCAAGGTCATTTACCCGGCCCTCGCTCAGGATCAACCTAATTCTGAAATGACTTGAAAGCACACAGCAACAATAACTAAGGCCCGGGGGCCAGATACGGCCCTCCAAGGTCATTTACCCGGCCCTCGCTCAGGATCAACCTAATTCTGAAATGACTTGAAAGCACACAGCAACAATAAATAAGGCCCGGGGGCCAGATACGGCCCTCCAAGGTCATTTACCCGGCCCTTGCTCAGGATCAACCTAATTCTGAAATGACTTGAAAGCACACAGCAACAATAACCAAGGCCCGGGGGCCAGATACGGCCCTCCAAGGTCATTTACCCGCCCTCGCTCAGGATCAACCTAATTCACCAATGCCTTAAATCAGGAGTCCTCAAACTAAGGCCCGGGGCCAGATACGGCCCTCCAAGGTCATTTACCCGGCCCTCGCTCAGGACAACCTAAGTCTGAAATGACTTGAAAGCACACAGCAACAATAACTAAGGCCCGGGGGCCAGATACGGCCCTCCAAGGTCATTTACCCAGCCCTCGCTCAGGGTCAACCTAAGTCTGAAACAACTTGAAAGCACACAACAACAACCCGAGGGTCGGATACGGCCCTCCGAGGTCATTTACCTGGCCCTCGCTCAGGGTCAACCTAAGTCTGAAATGACTTGAAATCACACAACAAAAACAACCACTAAGGCCCGAGGGCCAGATACGGCCCTCCAAGGTCATTTACCCGGCCCTCGCTCAAGGTCAACCTAAGTCTGAAACGACTTGAAAGCACACAACAACAACTAAGGCCTGAGGGCCAGATACGGCCCTCAGGTCATTTACCCAGCCCTCGCTCAGGGTCAACCTAAGTCTGAAATGACTTGAAAGCACACAACAACAACAACAACAAACCCATCTCATCAGCCAAAAGCAGGTCCACACTTTGCTTGCTCCCTTCTGCAGGGCCTTACTCTAACTCCGTAGACCCCCTCAAAGTAAGGCCCAAGGGATGGATACAGCCCTCCAAGGACATTTACCCAGTCCTCGCTCAGGGTCAACCTAAGTCTGAAACTACTTGAAAGCACACAACAACAACAACAACAACAATCCTATCTCATCAGCCAAAAGCAGGCCCACACATCCCATTGAAATACTAATACATATACAACAACTAAAGCCCCGAGGGCCAGATACGGCCCTCCAAGGTCATTTACCCGGCCCTCGCTCAGAGTCAACCTAATTCTGAAATGACTTGAAAGCACACAGCAACAACAACTAAGGCCCGAGGGCCGGATACAGCCCTCCAAGGTCATTTACCCGGCCCTCCCTCAGGGTCAACCTAAGTCTGAAACGACTTGAAAGCACACAACAACAATGGCCCGAGGGCCATATACGGCCTGAGGGCCAGATATGGCCCGAGGGCCAGATACGGCCCTCCAAGGTCATTTACCCGGCCCTCGCTCAGGATCAACCTAATTCTGAAATGACTTGAAAGCACACAGCAACAATAACTAAGGCCCGGGGGCCAGATACGGCCCTCCAAGGTCATTTACCCGGCCCTCGCTCAGGATCAACCTAATTCTGAAATGACTTGAAAGCACACAGCAACAATAACTAAGGCCCGGGGGCCAGATACGGCCCTCCAAGGTCATTTACCCGGCCCTCGCTCAGGATCAACCTAATTCTGAAATGACTTGAAAGCACACAGCAACAACAACAACAACTAAGGCCCTCTGTTTAAAAAGTTTGAGGACTCCTGCTCTTGACTTTAACTTATAGAACCAGGGCAAATGAGGCCACGGGGGGACGTGCCTGGCGAGAAGGCAGTAGGCACTCCTACATATACGCCAGTGTTTCCCATTCTTCCGAATGCCCCTTAATACAGTTCTTCATCTTGTGGTGACCCCCAAACATAAAATCATTTTCGTTGCTACTTCATAACTGTAATGTTGCTACTGTTATGGATCGTAATGTAAATAAATATCTGATATGTAGGATGTATTTTCATTCACTGGTGCAGTTTGGGGAAAATAGACCTTGCCATTTGGGAGTTGTAGTTGCTGGGATTTATAGTTCACCTACAATCAAAGAGCATTCTGATCTCCACCAATGATGGAGCTGAACCAAACTTGGCACACAGAACTCCCACAACCAACAGAAAATACTGGAAGGGTTTGGTGGGCATTGACCTTGACTCTTGGAGTTGTAGTTCACTTACATCCAGACAGCACTGTGGACTCAAACAATGATGGATCTGGACCAAAGCTAAACATATTTCCATTAAATACATACAGTAGAGTCTCGCTTATCCAACATAAATGGGCTGGCAGAACATTGCATAAGGGAAAACTGGGTTGTTGTAGTTTTTTTGGGCTATATGGCCATGTTCTAGAGGCATTCTCTCCTGACGTTTCACCTGCATCTATGGCAAGCATCCTCTGAGGTAGTGAGGTCTGTTGGAACTAGGAAAATTGGGTTTATATATCTGTGGAATAATGTCCAGGGTGGGACAAAGGACACTTATCTATTGGAGCGAGGTGTGAATGTTTCAACTGACCACCTTGATTAGCATTTGATGGCCTGGCAGTGCCTGGGGCAATCTTTTGTTGAGAGGTGATTAGATGTGCCTGAAAGTATATAAATCAAAGTGGTCAGTTGAAACATTCACACCTCACTCCAACAGACAAGAGTTCTTTGTCCCACCCTGGTCATGCCACAGATATATAAACCCATTTTCCTAGTTCCAACAGGCCTCACTACCTCTGAGGATGCTTCCCATAGATGCAGGCGAAACGTCAGGAGAAAATGCCTCTAGAACATGACCATAGAGCCCAAAAAAAACCTACAACAACCCAGTGATTCCGGCCATGAAAGCCTTCAACAATACAATACTGGAAAGGTTTGGTGCACATTGGCCTTGAGTTTGGGAGTTGTGGTTTAACTACATTCAGAGAGCACTGTATTTACTTTATTTATTTATTTATTTATTTACTTTATTTCTATACCACTTTTCTCAGCCCTCAGGTGACTCAAAGCGGTGAACAACATCAATACAAAGCATTACAAAACAGTATCAGGCAATTAAAACAATTATCACATAAATCACTAACTTCAGTATAACAATCATTAGCGCCTCAACAGTAAAATCAGAATCCAGTCTCGTCATCCATTTTTCCGTATTCCTACGTTCAATTACACTGTTTAATCAAATGCTTGTTCGAACAGCCAGGTCTTCACTTTCCTCTGAAACGCAGCAGGGAGGGGGCCGATCTGATATCTGCAGGCAGGGCGTTCCACAGCCAAGGGGCCACCACTGAGAAGGCCCTGTCTCTCGTCCCCGCCAAGCGCGCCTGTGATGCAGGCGGGACCGAGAGCAGGGCTTCCCCAGATGATCTTAGTGTCCTGGTCGGTTCATAGGCTGTAGACTCAAACAATGGTGAATCTGAACCAAACCTGGCACGAATACTCAATATGCCCAAATGTGAACACTGGTGGGGGAAATAGACCTTAACATTTGGGAGTTGCAGTTGCTGGGATTTATAGTTCACCTACAGACAAAGAGCATTCTGAACCCCACCAATGATAGAATTAGGCCAAAGCCTCATGCTTTGAAGGGACTCACTGGCGCATGCCTCCCTCCAGCCTCACCCGCTCTCCCTCACCCGCACATGCGCATCATGCTGTTATGCACCACGCATGCCTGCTCTCCCCTCCCCACTTGGAGCCTCAGAAACATCCCTCCCCTTGGCTGAGAGGCCACCAATCACAGCGGAGGAGGGCTTTTGGTGGGAGGATTCGCCGCCTGTTTCCAAAAAGGAAGAGAAGGATAGAGGGAGAGATCGTCAGCCTTCTCTGCCAAAGGGGTCCCTAAGACCATTAGAAATATATGTTTCCTGGTGGTCTTTGGCGACCCCCTCCCCAGGGGTTCTGAACCCGAGGTTGAGAAACGCTGATAGAGACAGATTTGGCCAAGTTTTTCAGCCCTTTTTTTGGAGCTGGGAAAGCCTCCCTTGGCTTGCAATGGGGTCAAGATCAAGGCCAGGCAGAGGACTGTAGAGGCCATTGCTTGCAATATAGGATCTGTTTCTCTCTCCTCCTCCCCTCCCTTGACAGTGTGTTTTCTTTTCCAGTCGAAATGGAGGGAAGGAGGGAAAGGAGATGTATTTCATGTCAGGCTTGGCCCGACTTACTGGGCCAAGAAGTTGCGGTGCAGGGCGTTCCCCACCGCCATTCTTGCCTTAGGGGGGCTTCTTCTTCCCAGAAGCCCCCTGTGTTGGTGGGAAGGTTCCCGTCGGCGGGTCAATAGGCCAATGGCCAACTGACCATGCCCGAGCTGGCCTCTCCCTCCTTTGTGGACAGCTTTCATAAGGCTGCCCCAGGCTCTCCAGCAGGCACTGGGCTTGCAACAGCTGAGCCATCCCACCCACCCTGCATGCGGTTTATGTTGGCAGTTAACTTTTGTTGGTGTTCACCTTGTCATGGTTACCCGTTAACAGTTACTTGTTTGTTTAATGCTCCTTGTCACAACTCCTTGTTGGCGTGGGGCATGGGCCCTGGATCTGGTTTGGACGCCCGGTGGTCCCAGGTGTGCCGAGTTGCGTTTGCCCGGTATTGTGCCGGCGAAACCCTGGTGTGTGCGGGATTTGGCAGTATTGGGCTGCCCAATCGTGATCCAGGACCCATGCTTGGCTGCCAACCCTTGTTCCTGTTACCAATAAATGAGTTGTGGCCATTGTTCACCCCAACAACATGTGTGAGCGTACTTCTTGGGCTGGCTGTGGGAGGTGTGTCGCACTTGCACACGCAAACTCCTTGTTTGTATGGCTCTCTTTCAACCCTACCCAATTTCCTGGCTTTTTGGTGTATTTAAATGTATTAACTTTATACGTGCATTTTAGTTCCCTTGGAAGTTTTCCCCTCACATGTTTGCAACTCCTAAATGCATATAGCAGTGGTTCTCAACCCTCGTAATGCTATGACCCCTTATTACAGTTCCTCATGTTGTGGTGACCCCCAATCAGAAAATTATTTTTGTTGCTACTTCATAACTGTAATTTTGCTATTGTTATGAATTGTAATGTAAATATCTGATACGTAGGATGTATTTTCATTCACTAGACCAAACTTGACACAAATATCCGATATGCCCAAATTTGAATACTGGTGGTGTGGGGGATTGATTTTTGTCATTTGAGAGTTGTAGTTGCTGGGATTTATAGTTCACCTACTATCAAAGAGCATTTTGAACTCCACCAATAATGGAATTGAACCACACTTGGCACAAAGAACTCCCATGAGCAACAGAAAATACTGGAAGGGTTTGGTGGGCATTGACCTTGAGTTTTGGAGTTGTAGTTCACCTACATCCAGAGAGCACTGTGGACTCAAACAATGATGATCTGGACCAAACTTGGCATGGATACTCAATATGCCCAAATGTGAACACTGGTTGAGTTTGGGGAAAATAGACCTTGACATTTGGGAGTTGGTCATTGCTGGGATTTATAATTCACTTATAATGAAAGAGCATTCTGAATCCCGTCAACGATAGAATTCGGCCAAACTTCCCACATAGAACCCCCATGACCAACAGAAAATATTGGGGTTTTTGATGGTCTTTGGTGACCCCTCTGATACCCCCTCACGACCCCCTCAGGGGTCCCGACCCCCAGGTTGAGAAACACTGGCATATAGGGTTCTAGATATTTCCATGTACCTGTATATCTATATGTATACATTATTTTTATATGAATTTTCTGCTCACATGTTTGCAAGTCTCTGCAAATCCTATTTAGATATAATTATATATATAGAGAGAGATGTCTAAATAGATATATTTGAATTCTGCAAATGTAAAAATGCATAAAAAGCTAGAGTCTAATCCCGGCTCCCTTTCCTTACTTTCTTCCCGCCAGGGCTTTGCCTCGACACCGACCCACTGACCTCCACCCCCCTCGTGCCCCCCACACGGCCAGGCGAGCGAGTGGAGCCGCGAGCTCAGCAGGAAGGGGCCGGCTGGCTGTCCACCGATTCTTTAGGTTAACGGCATGATTTCCGCAAGGGACATAATAACTTTACCGTCTTATTCGCATGACCGACTGACTGCAGACGCATGAGCTACAGTTCTTCCTCCTGAATCAAAGCCTGAACCAGGAATCCCGGGAGAGGAGGAAGCGACACAACGCCAGTGCGTGCGTGGTGGGGGGCACAAGAGGGGTCCGTCCGTTCCTCGGCTCCCCCCTCGACAACGCCTCCACCTCCCGGGAAGGAGTTTGCCGGACAGAGCTCACCTGCCATCCCACCTGCCCCTGCTTCGCCCTCTGGCCGTGTCTGGACCTCCTGGGTGCCGGAGGATGTCAAACGAGGGTCCCCTTGGGCCTGGGAGGCGGGAAGCAGCGGGCGGCTGCCCTGACCCTCCCCTCCTCCCTTGTGTTCGGGTGGAAAAGCGTGACCTGGACAGTTGCTCAAACCTTGTGTATATGATGATATGAACAGATATCTACTATGCAAACACAAATAGGGACGTTCGGCAGGATTGTATTGGCTCATCTCCCTGAAATACCTCCACAGGCTACCAGTTGGTCGTTCGCTCGTTCATTCGTTCGTTTGTTCGTTCTCAAAACGGAGGTGGGAAGAGCTAGGATTGACGATAGGCAGAGCAAGTCTCCCAGGCTCATCTCTCTCTCTTTCTCTGACACACATACACACATGCAAAGTGCTGCCCGTGGGTAGGAGGTCCGTGGCGCGGAGGGAAGAGGTGTGGAAGAAGGGCTAGTGCACAAACCTCTCTGCCAATGCGCACTCAGACCCACAAGCGTGCGCCGGGCACACTTGCACCCTCACCCTTGGGATGCTGCCGGTAACGTGGCAATGGGGCAGAAGGGTGCCGGTGTGCCCCGCTTTACCAACACCCCGCTCCCTCCAGCACAATCTGTGGCTCAGGAGAGTTCTGCTGCTTCTGCGCCAGGGAGGGCTCCTTAAGGGCTCTTCGGTATCCAGCACAGACATGCCGTGTGCCAGTATTTCCTAGACTGCCCTCTCCCTGAGAATTCTGCCCTCTCCCTGAGCCAAGAGTCACGATCAGTCGCAGCACAGGAGCCGGTCGGGTGTCCTCTGGGCCGATTCCTCCCCACCAGAGAAATGGCCAATGCCCCATCCATCTCTGCCTCTTGGTGCTTTGGGAAACCCCCTCTCCCACCTCCCCGCAATCTTCCCCAGCCACCCCAGGCCCCTGGGATGCCCGTTTTGAGCAATACGCGACTCCTCTCGCACCCAAGAGGCATGGCATTTGCATTAGAAGGAGGTGAGTCGTGGCCAGAGGTGTAGGAGCCCCGTTTCGTACACAAGACCTCCCTGCACACACACAAAAGAGACACACTGACGACGTTCTCCTTTGGGCCCGGAAGAGATGCAGTGTGGCACCTGCACAACGTCTTCAGCTCTTGTCCCTGGGAACCGTGCCAATCTCGGAAGAGAAACGGACTCAAAGGAACGGGGGGATCCAGGTGGGAACTCGTGGGGAAGCCCACAGGATGGCAGGCCGGGCACCTCCCCAGGGAGAAGAGCTGTCTGGATGCAAACGTGTGGGGCGGGGGCACAGAACACCCGTGCCCCCCGGCCCTCCCACCCCAAACGCCCCGAACGGCCTCCCCGCCCCACCAAATTGCCGACCCAGCGCCGCCATAGAGCCTAAGGTGGCCGCCCCATGCTTTGGCCTCCTGTAGCGCGTAGGAACCTGAGCTGTGAACTGCGCCCCCCCCCTTTGCCTGCCTGCGGGGTGCCGCTTTGCCCGCTGATCGCTAGTAGGAGCTGTAGGGGAGGGCGATGCCTAGAGAATGCTGCCGTCTGCACTCTAGATGCTTTTTAGAAGTTTTGAAATTCCTTTTAGTTCCTTTTTTATTGGTATGAGAATTTCGAGCCTTTTGGCTCCTCCTCGGTCTCGACCCCCACCCCACCC